ATTTATGGTCCGCCAGTCTCAATAGACCAGCCTGCGACCTACCTTGGAAGGTCCTTGTGCTATTAGGGATAAAACATTTTGTTGATAGAAATTACTATTTTGACTTGATTCTTCAAATTTAGAATTGTTATCTATTATTATAAAATAATTTGACGATAAATTTAATAAAAGTCGATATTAAGGGTCTTAACTACGTATCATTACGGAGGTACCTACTTATCTAATCGTATCATTAAGATAGTGAGGCAATTAGTTATATTTATCTTGTATCCAGTTATATGCCAAATTAAAACACACATTCTATACATTAATACTGCGTTAAATCTAGCTGCCCGAAGTTGCACATTTTAATTTAAACCGTTTAGTTTCAAATTTTTATTTTGTGATTTAACGCGTAGCTTATGTTTATCTGTCATAATGCCGTTACCTTTAATTATTAGAAAAGATATTCATGATGTAATTTTTTCTAATAAGAATCTTTATAATAATGAAAAGAAAAAAGTAGTCTTAAACTTTGTATGTGGACATTTCAAGTTTAATCAGCAGACAGTAAATTCTATCGACTTGCAAGCAATCGACGTTATAAAACAATATTTAGAAAGCCATTTTTTTAACAAGTAAGACATTTTAGTTGTATTTTTATTTATTTTTTATTACTCATTGCTAGTTAGAAATTATATTTCTAAATATTCATACGAAATCTCATAAAAAACTTATGTGTATATTTTATATTGTATACATAGGTTCAAATATTAAAAGGCGATAGGATAATTATGTTGGTTGTTTTTTTTATAAATACTTTGATAAGTGGTCGAAATCAAATCGAACTAATGCTCGTTTTATTAGCAATAATGCGGATTGGCTTAACACCAGACTAGATTTGCCAGATATAGTGTATACTTTTTTTCCTAGTACATCAGGTATATTTTTTAGTTAAATTTTAAATTACTTATATAAGTAGTATAAAAAATAAATAATAATTTAGGTCCAGTGGGTCGACCAATCACTGATTTTGATCAATGTAGTGATAAGGCTAAAAGAAAAAAAACAGAAAGTCTCCGTCAGTCATTTAGTACATCACAAATTATGTTCAGTGCATCAATGAAGCAAAGACTAGACGGAGATGAAGATGGTGCAAAACTATTAAAAGAAATAGAAAGTACGACTCCCACAAGAGGCAAGAGGATACGCGATGCTTGGAAGTCACATAAACAAAAACAGATCCAAAAGCAAATGGCTACCGATGAAGCACTTGCATTAATAATTTCCGCATCTTTATCAGTTTATCAATATAAGCTTCTTCGAAAGCAAGCTATAAAACTTAATCACGATATTTATCCTTCATACAATACAGTTTTAGCGTCAAAAAATAATGCTTATCCTGAAGATATTTTAATTACTGAAGAAAGATGTGAAGTCAAGCTACACGCTCTATTAAATCATACAGCTGAAAGATTATTCCAAAGTGTTTCTATTGAATCGAAGACTGGAAATTATATTTTGTATTGTAAATGGGGATTCGATGGTAGGTAGTTCAGGTTTTTCGCAATACAAACAAACTACATTAGGTCATTCTGATGATAGTAGCTTATTTGTTACCTCTATGGTACCAATACAGTTAAAAAATGAAATAAACAACAGTATAATTTGGTAAAACCCTGCATGTTCATCTACTAGGTATTGTAGACTAATTAGATTACAGTACGCCAAAGAGACTACAGAATTGTCTTAAGCCGAAGAACAGTATATAACTTCACAAATATGTCAACTTCATCCATATGTAAATGATAAAGGAAGTGTGAAATTTTTTATGGAATTTACTATGATTGATGGTAAAGTTTGCAGTGCAGTTCCGAAAACTTCATCAATGATGTGTTATATATGTAAAGCAAAGATTTCTCAAATGAACAATTTAAATCAAATGAAAGAGGCAGTAGATGATATATCAACGTTTAGATACGGTTTATCAATGTTGCATGCATATATTCGATTCTTCGAATGCCTCTTGCGCATATCATACAGATTGGACTTCAAGCAATGGAAAGTCAGTAAAAAAAATGGAACCGATTTATTGTTGGCAGCAAGAAAAAAAAACATTCAAAATAATTTCAGAGAAAAGTTAGGACTTTTGGTTGATTTTCCTAAGCAAGGTTTTGGTAGTAGTAATGACGGTAATACTGCTAGAAGGTCCTTTAAGAATCATCATATATCAGCTGAAATTACCGGCATTGATGAAACGCTGGTAATACGGTTTGGAGTTATTCTTCAGAGTCTATCAAGTGGTCAAAAAATAAATTTGATTAAATGTAATGATTATTGTTGGGATACTGCAAATGTGTACGTAAGATTGTATGAATAGTATTACATGCCACCCAGTGTACATAAAATGTTGATTCATGGGTCTGTAATAATAGGTTCTTTTGTAATACCAATTGGTCAGTTGAGTGAAGAGGCTTAGGTAATGGTTAGTAAGGTTAGGTAATCGTAAAAGGTATCGAGAAAACTACACAAGAAAAACATCACGAATTGATACCAATACGGACTTATTTAACAGGCTACTTCTATCCTCAGATCCTAAAATAAGCGGACTTCAAGAAGATAATCGAAAAAGAAGATTTTTCTCCGTGGAAGTCAAACGGCTAGAAAATGGGTAGAAATGAAATAAATGGCGGAAAAGTAAATTATCATAAATCATAATATGAAATTACTCAATTGAACGAATTGTTGAAAAATAAAATAAAAATTGGATATTTTTTAATTTTGGCCAGCTATTTTCGATTTTAAAACACTGTGCGTCGCAGTCGCAATCGCAATCACCGTGAGTCAATGACGATTACGTTATAAAATCAATTGTCTGTTGGGTGTACTAACTGTGTTTTATTTTGGTCCTCTAGTTACAAAAAAGTAAGAAAGATGCTCATGGAGAATGGCTACCAGGATCGTCTGCCCAATGGACACCCCTACCTAATGTTGCATGAGAGGTATTTAGATTTGGGACACGAAAAGATGCCCAGGCATGTAAGAATTACATAGCCAATGTGTCCAGGGCACTCTTTTTCGTGTCAAATTGGCTGAAAAAACGCGACTCGCCACCAAACCATTGGTCGCAGCTGTTGAGCTGCAGCGAGCAACCTTATGTGCTCTACTTTGATGAGTAAGTTTTAGCAGCTCACCGACTTCTAACTTATCAGTAACTATATATTATATTTAACTTTATAGAACAGAGAAACTGGGACAGACTATTTCCACATCCATAAATTATTTGAAGAACATAAATACGCTCATGAAACAGAGCATAAGTCTGTATTGTTTGGACGACGAGACGTTTCCCAAACATTTTGTCGGAAACCCAAGTGACAAAGTCGTCAACGGCATCAAACTCCTGCAGCATAAGCTGCACATATGAGGCGTGTAGAACCATATCGGCCCAACCCACAAAAAATCAAATTGCGTATTATTTCAAAATATGTTACAGAATTATATTTTATTTCAGTGCAAAAATGGCCCAAACCTAAAAAAAACATTATTCACTAGATAGCAGCACATAATTAGTTTTGTCATTAACATTTTAGTAATAACTTTGGGGTAAAAATGGCCCAACCCAATGATAGTTGAATAGGCCATTTTGATTTCTAAATTTAACCCATTGATTGTGGAATAAGTTATTTCTGTATTATATTTTTTGAAAGTGCTGGCTGATAATAATATTATTATAAATAATGTTGTTTTATGCAATAATTGAAAGTGCTGGCTGATAATAATATTATTATCAATAATGTTGTTTTATGCAATAATTATTAATTAGTAATTACTAATAGGTACTTAAGTCTTTTTATTAACAAAATATAATAGTTGTATAGTATTAATATGAACACAGAAGAAATTAATGATGTTCTCCAAACCGGTAAGTAACAAAAAATTTACATTTATATAACTATATTAATCAATTTATTTTAATGACTTATTGTAAACAGACTCAGAAATGGAATTTTCTGAGGATTCTGGTTCAGATTATATACCACCCAACATTGGTAATCAATCATATACCAGTGATTCAGATCATAATAATATGTCAACATACTCTTCTGAAGACCATCAGGCTGTTCCAAAAATGCGTTCAAGAAATGTACATCTTTGGAAAAAGAATGTTAGAAAAGCTAAGAAGATTTGTGGAGAAGCTTATATTGGTGCTACAGGAAAAATTAATAATGCAAAAACGTTTGAACCAATAATTTGTAAGTGTTCTAAGAAATGCCACAACTTTATACCAGATACTAAACAAAAAGAAATTCATAAGAAATTTTATAATTTGAGTACTTATGATTTACAAACTTCTTTTTTATTTGGTCTTATTAAAGTAATTAATAAAAAGAGAACATACAAAGGAACTGTCAATAGTGACAAAAGGTCATTTTCTAGAGAATTCTATTTACCCGCAGGTGATGGCACTGAAGTAAAAGTTTGCAAAATGTTTTTTAAAGAGTTATTTTCTATATCAGGTGGTAGAATTACAACACTTTTGATACCCAAACCTGTTGGGGGTACTCCACCCCCAAGACAAAAGAGGTAAACACTCTGGCAACAGAACAAATGACACAAAAATTAATAAAGTTAAAGATTTTATAAATACATTTCCTAGCTATGAGTCACACTATTCAAGGCTAAAAAATTTAAATAAGAAATATTTAACCCCAAATTAGAGCCAGTTTCTTTTTATGTTTTCCAAGATGTGTTTAACAAACAGTTTAATTTACATTTTCATGCCCCAATATCAGATAGTTGCAAAAAGTGTGATTCTTTTAATATGAAACTTAAATTTTTGACTGATGATGGTGAAAAAGCTATTATTGAAAATGAAAAACAGTTACATCACAGGAAAGCTGAAAAAGCCAGAGAAGGTATGAAATTAGATGCTACAGAAGCCAAACTAAACAATAATATTACATGCATTGCATTTGATTTAATAAGACGTTAGCAACTTCCATTGTTTCCACTGGAATATGCTATACAAAAGACAGTTATGGACTTATTGTCTTGGTATCCATGATCTTGCAACTGATAATGCAACTATGTATGTTTGGGATGAGTCATTAGGTTCCAGAGGTCCTCAAGAAATTGGTTCTTGCATTTTACATTATGTAAAAAATTTTGTGACTTCTACCAAACTTGTAATGTATTCAGATCAATGTGGCGGTCAAAATCGCAACATAAAAATGGCTACTTTATGTAATTACATTGTTGATAGTCCATCAATTACTGTAGAGGAAATTGATCACAAGTTCTTACTTAGTGGTCATTCATATTTACCCTGTGATCAAGATTTCGGATTAATTGAAAAAGAAAAGAAATTCCACCCACATGTACATTTACCGAATGACTGGATATCAGTCATACTATCTGCAAGAAAAAAAAAACATTTAAAGTTGTCAACATAACTTCAAATGATTTATACTCAACAAAGTCATTAGAAAAGCAGATAACCAATAGAAAAACTGATCTAAATAAGGAGAAAGTACAATGGTTAAAAATTCAATGGCTAAATTGCAAAAAAGAACAGCCATTTAACTTAGATTACAAGTATTCTAATGACACAGATTATCCTTTTTACTGTAACTATATTGGTAAAAGAAACTCTAAAATTCAAAACTATACAGAAAATTTAGATCTTTTATATCTAAATGGGCACACTATAAGTCAATTAAAAAAAAAGATTTAATTGAATTACTTCCATTTATACCCCCCATAAAATATCAGTTTTATTTTGATCTCAAAACAGATAGAAATGATGATGATGGTTTTCCATTTATTGAAAATGAAGATGAAGAAAGTGAAGAACGATAAGTAAATATTTTAAGTAAAAATGCAATAATAATTCAAAATATAATTTTATATAGTGTTATAATATAATAATATTATGCCGTTGTGCAAAGAAAAAGCAGGCTGTATTATGTTTGATTGTTAATATTTTATTAAATTATTAATAAGTAACAAATTGAAATGTTAATGTTATTACTTTTGATGTTAAAATCTTAATTATTTTTATTAATTTAGAACATGGTTTTTTACAGTTTTGATTGTTTTTGTTTTTATTATATTTTAAATTAAAATTCTACCTTTTTTTATTTTATTTTAACATAAATAAAACAAGGCTGATTATTTGTTATGTATTATGTACGATGTATTATCAAACCTATTAGATTATCTTTGCATTTGTATTCCTATACAAAAGAACATTACAAATGCGGCAGCCGGCGGTCTTTAAGGCCATGAGAATTCCTCACAGGTTACTATAGCTGGCGGCCAAAAATGCTTGATTCATAACAATGAATGAATATTAATGGATCTGATATATGAAATTCTGTTTTTAATATGTTCTGTGTAATTATTGTCATTTCTGAAATTTGTTCTTTAATTTTTGTGGTGTTGATTGAAGACGGTGATGATGATGTTAATTTTAGATGATTATTGAATAGGGTTGTTTGTAAATGGAGATGTTCTATATAGAATAAAATGGTGTCCGGTGTCAATTTGAGAATATGATTTAAAATTTGTGAGTTTTTTATTGCATCATTTATAAATTCATTGTCATAGTCGATGAAATATGAAAAGGCATGTTTTTTGTTTGGTTTAACTCTAAATAAAATGTTTTTGTTTGTCAACGATATTATATGATTTTTAAAATCACGTTTCAAATCTGATGTAGGAAACGTGAAATGCATAATACTTGTCAATAATATGAAGGAATTGAATAAATGTGTAACCTGAAAAAAAACGAAGCTTAAGTATATGTTTTCTTTATTTTGCAATTTTTTTTTTTAGGAGCACTGTTTACCGTTGAAAATCGTATATTTGGTGACGTGTGGTCATTTTGCATTTTCACCGTGGCAATAACAAACATATCAATATTATATCATACTGTTTAATATCCCACTCATTGTTAATTATATATTTATACGTTTTATCATCATCAATTTGAATTTGTAGCAAATTTTTACTTTGGTTTGTTCCCCCTCTGTAAATTAAGAAACATATTATACCAAAAAATATATTATAAATTGGCAAAAAAAAAAATACTTACGGTAGTAAATAAATATCGAAACTTAAAATATTTTGAAGGTTTTTTAAGCTTTTTATCATTTCCTTGAATTTAAAATTTAATATTTGAAAATAAATATAGTCATTATTGCTTATATGCGTTTTTATATCAGTTGAATATAAGAAAATAAAACATTTATAAACGATATGCATTGTGCCACATCTGACTAATGAATTGATAATATTTTTTAACATAAAACCAATTTCAGGATTTTGATTTCTGAAAATATACACCAATTAAAAACAATTATGTATATCAATGTATTTTATGTGTGTAATATTTTCTCATAATTAAATGATGTGAAGTCGCCAAACATTAACATTGTACATAGTTAGTTATGGACAACACGAGTTTTGTTATTTATAAAAATAATATTATCATTTAAATTTTAAATAATCTTCCATACTATATTAGGAATAATATAATAATTTAATAGTGATATTAATTTCATTAATTTTTCACTTTTAATAATGAAATCTGACGTATCGTAATAATAATTATAGTTTTCAGTACTAGTGTCCAGTGTCGCAAAACTGTAAGCAGTGTTAAATAAAAATATAAAAAAAATGTCAATGTTTAATTTGTTTTACCAGTACTAACTTAAAATGATCAAACATTATACACTGTTCGAAACTTTTGCTCTCGACTATTTATTTGACACTATTTTTGTACTTCAATATTTTTAGATTCTGAGCGGAGCGATGAATGTATTGGTTTTACAATGATGTGTGTTTTTATATTTTTATATTTTTATATTTTTATATTTTTGTGTCTGTCATCACGTTTTGGGACAGTAAAAGTGCTTCGATTTTCTTCAATAGTACCTTTTCTGATAGGAAAGTAAATCTAGTTGGTACTTTGGGGGGTCAAAAGTAAACATTTTCCAGTAGTTTTCACAAGCGCCGGGAAAAACAACATAAAAATTAAGGAAAAACGGGAATTTTTACGCAAAATCGATTTTCCAAAAAATCGAATTTGGTTTTTGGTGTAACTTTAAAACAAATGACCGTCGATACATGAAATTTGTTTATATTTGCATTTTCTATACACGATAACATTTTCAAAATATTTTGATTTATTTTGAACTGTTTAGGGACATTTTCATTTTTCATTTTTTTTTAGTTTTTTTTCTAGAAATATCAATAAAATGTTATTTGTTGGTTGCGAAAGCTTGAAAATTTAATAGAAGGCTCCTAATATGTTGTTTCAAAGGCAGATGAAAAATATTAAAAATCCTTAGTCACAATTTTTTTTTATAAGCATTTAAAGTTCAAAAATTTACAAAATATGGAAAAATCACGAAAATTAGCAAATTATTTTGAGTTAAGAATTCGTAAAAATTTTTCTTTTTAAATCTAAGATTTGAAAATGAAACACAAGATTCCTTATAAGATTATCTACCTTTATCAATAAAAAAATCTCTACCGGACAGTCAAGTTAAATTTTTATGAGCGTTTGAAATTAAAATTTTTACAACATTGGATATTCACTCGATTTCTCATGTAGCGATTTCCTTATTTTGTTGTAATTCAAAAACGAACAACTGTAGATATATGAAAATTTCACTGAATGTTTATATTAGCATTTCCTATACACCATACAATTTTGAAAATATTTTGACTCTTTTTGAGCCGTTTACGGACATTTTCAGTTTTCAATTTTTTTAGTTTTTTTTTTCTATAAATATTAATAAAGTTTTATCTGTTGGGCCAAAAAGTGTGAAAAATTAATACAAGGCTCCTGATATATTGTTACAATAGCAATTGAAAAATATTAAAAATACATAGGCACAATTTTTTTTTATATGCATTTAAAGATCGCATTTTGACAAAATTTATCAATATCTCGAAAATTATCAATCATCGTAATTAATAAATTATAAAATGTTCAGTTTTTATAGCTAAGGATTGAAAATTTAAAAAAAAGATTCTCATAAATAGTTCATACTGTAGCCAAAAAATCTAAAAAATATATTAGCACAGTTATTTTTTACAGACATTTTAAGTTCAAATTTGGGACGAAATTACATATTAAAAAACCTAGCATACCTATTTTAGTTATTTTGTTGTGAGTGTATAATACTATTCGTGGGTACTTGAAACTTCTAATGTACACTATATTATATATCTATGATAGTATCAGGGTTTTTTATTGAGGTATAACGTGTTATAAGTACCTAATGTGTATTGTGATATGATTAATTTGGAATTTATTATAGGTCAATTTTTTTTTAATACCATAGATATGTATATAATATGTCTTAAACCTAGACTGACATACCGTCTTCGCTCAGAATCCTTTTTCTTATACAATGATATTGTATCATTGGATTCAAATTTAATACCATCCATTATACAGTGACCCACTTGTAACCTAATGTACAGCAGAGCGACATCCACTTACCCACCTTTTTTCACTATGTTTTTTCTATTTATTCCACAAATGGCAATGTGAATAGGCACAAGAAACATATACGTAATGTTTTGCCCAAATATAATAAATAAAAATGTGTTTAATTTTATTGAATTATTGTATCTTTGCAGTTCATCTAATGTAGTTATACATTTACTTTTATTTTGAGCAGACCATGAGTCAGGATAAAGGTTGAGTATCGTAGGATGACTCTGTTTTATACTGTTCTTCAAGAATATTAAAAAAGTTTAGACTATTGCACTATCTGAAAAGGAACAAATTGATTCACGCTGGTGAAAAACCTTTCCAGTGTGATATTTGCAAGACAAGACACAGGGATTTATCAAATCTCAAGTGTCACAACATGTGTTGGCACTTGGCATTCAAACATAAGGCCTTACATTTGCGTCATTGATCAATGTAAGGAAAGACCAAAAGCTTTTAAACAAAAAATCATATTTTAAAATTCATTGGTGGTGTTAGGAACCCACAATAGGTGTCAGCCGCAATTCTAGTTGAATTTCCACACTACCCAAGGGGTATCAGCTACAGCGCGTTTTTTTTTAAGTGGTTTCCCCAAGAGGCCTAATCCACTGACGTACCCACGTCGACAGTTTTTTTTTAAGTGGTATCCCCGTAGGCCTAATCCACTGACGTACCCACGTCTACAGTTTTTTTTACGTGGTTCACTCTAGGACCTAGAGCTACATCCACGGTTGAGCCTTGCCAGCTCAGCCTTAACCATTCTGGCGATGCGGGATGATTCGGCTGTCTTCATCCACCGCTTCCTGTTCAGAGCAGACGCCAGGTGCCACAACGTCAATTACGAAATCGACTGTTCGTCGTGGCCCTCCCTGAACGCCTCTCTCGCCAGTTCGAGTGCTCTCGGTTTGGAAAGATAACTCTCTGCTCTCTCCACAATTTGAT